TAACCCTACCGTTTCCGCTTGTTGAATGCCCCCTTCTAAGGCTCTACCCTGTTCAGGGGAGCTCTTCCTTGGGTTCAGAAGGATATGAAGGAGGACTCGGTCGCCTCAGCACTTCTGGTGAAGAGGTTTCAGGCTGAGAAGGCCAGTGCCTCGCAGGGGTCAGTGCCTCCTAAGAAGCAGGCGAAGTCTTCGGCTGCTCAGTTTTCTGCACAGCCCAAGTCCCAACCTCACTTCAACGGCAACAAGGGGAAGGGTAGGAAGGGTAAGAAACCTCCTGGGGGCAAGAAGAAGGGTTCCTGACTATTTCTGCTTCTTGGCCGCTAAAGGCGAAGGGTATGGCCGGGTGGACGGTGGTTCTCCTTTCCCGGGCTCATGTCCTTCTCCTGCAGGCTCAGGCTCCGGGTGGGCAGACGATTCTCTGGTCTGGCAGGGGCTCGATCTGCCCCATCCGGAACTCCCTGTGGGCGGACGTCTCTCTGCTTTCCTTTCCTAGTGGCAGGATATTACAGAGGACGCTTGGGCTTTTGTCGGTGGTCAGGGAGGGTCTAGGTATTCCCCTTCTTCAGGATTCGTCCCTCGCCTCCTGGCCGTTTTTGTTTCTTTCCTCCTCCCGGGGATTCAGAAAGGGCACGGGTGCTCCAGGAGGAAGTAGGGACCATGCTGCCAAGGCAGAGATGCCCTTGGGGCTCACGACAGCTCCTTTGGTGTTCACCAAGTTGCTGCTGGTGTTTCCTTCACTCCTGCAGAATAGACGTCCACATCTATTTCGACGACTCCCTCATGCCTCTTTTGGTGTGGGAATCGTTAGTGAAGGACACTCGTCTGGTCCTGAAACTCTTGCTCAGAGTCGGCTTCATTCCTTCCAGAGAGAAGTCAGAGGTTCCTTCATATTAGGACTTCTTCTTCCTGGGGAACCATTTTGACATGGTTCGGGGCTTAGCCCTTCCACCTCTGGAGAAGTTTGAGAAGGTCAGGGCTCTGGCTCTGACTTTCATCACTTGGTCGCTTGTCCAGGTACATTGGTTCCTCAGTTTTCTGGGGTATCTCAACTCCTTGGCATATGTGGTCCCCCTAGGGAGGATTCACATCGGACCTCTCCAGATGTTCCTCCTGTCTGACTGGGTTCCGTCATCCAGGAGGCCTGGATCCCGCTTACCCAGTCGGTCAGGGAGTTCTCTTGCTGGTGGACCATTCAGGAGAACGTTTTCCACGGGGTACCTCTGACCAAGCCTATCCCCTCTATGATCCTGTTCATGGACGCGTTCATGACAGGAATGTGAGCTTACCTCGATGGGGGAGTGGTCTGGCGAATAACTCTCAGAGCACATCAGTGTACTCGAGATGAGACTGTTCATTTGGCTCTGCAGTCCTTTAGGGGTATCCTGCAGTCCAAAGTGTGGCTACCGACAACAGTTGTCGCGTATCTGGAGAGACAGGGGCCACCAGGTCTCATGTCCTGTGTGCCCTTTCCATCCACATCCATCTTCTCTGCCAGGACATGCAGTTGACCATAGCGGTCAAGCATCTTTCTGGCAGGCTGAGTGTGTTGGTGGCCACTCTCCAGGCGCCACCAGCCGGTGTTGACGGAATGGCAGCTGTGTCCCTTGATTTTCAAGGGGAATTGTCAGGCGTGGGACAGACCTATTATAGACCTGTTTGCCACTTCCCTGAACAACCAGCTGCTAACCTTCGTCTCCCCGGTCCCAGACCGTAAGGCGTGGGCTGTGGACGCCCTTTCTCTGGAATAGGAAGGGACGTATGCATATGCATTCCCTCCCTTCAACCTGGTGGGCAGGGTTCTACAGAAGTTCTGGGAGCATCACTGCTCCTTACTTCTGAGAGCCCCTCTGTGGCCGAGGCAAGCTTGGTTTCAGGAGCTCTTGTCGTTTCTGGTGGAGGAGCCCTTGGCTCTCCCCACCAGACCGAATCTCCTTCGCCAGCCTTGGCCCAGAACGACACACTCTTGACCAGAGATCCTCCACCTTCACGCGCTGAGGCTATCTCTGGAAGCCACGCCAAGGCAGGCTTTTCTCAAGAGGTGTCAGATTGCATTGAGCAATCAATCAGGGCTTCCTCTTCTGCCGTCTACCAGTCACGTTGGATGATCTTCTGTGATTGGTGTGTCGGCAAGGAAGCTTATTCATTCGAAGCCTCTGCATTTGATTGCGGAATTCCTAATCTCTCTGTTTAGGTACCGCTATCTGCCACCTGGCACTATTGCTGGCTATCGTACAGCTATTGCCAGAGTTCTTGCTTGTTATGGCAGGAAGGAGATCTGTTAGTCCTCCTCTCTTTCTGCCCTAATCAGAGGCTTTGCTATGAATAGAGTTGTTTTTAGCGAAGAATCAGGTTCCGGGGTTCTCGCACGATCCCATCAGGATCCTGGCTGTGACTAGCTCGGAGGAGCGAGATAGGTTGCTTTGTCCTTGTCGGGCTCTTAGGTTTTATCTTGATAAAACCAGGGGGGCGGGGCTCTCGATCCCGTCTGTTTTGCCCATTAAACAGGGGCAACGAGATATCTCCTCCCAGTCGGTTTCCAGGTGGGTTTGCCAGGTGATTTAGTATGCTTACGAGCATTTTGATGATCTGGCTCGGGCGAGAGTGAAAGCGCGGTCTCACGAGGTCAGGGCCCTTGCTTCATCGTGGGCCCTTCTCTCAATGAGTCCTCCTTTCAGGAGGTCATGTCTGCAGTATTCTGGCAGGGCAGGGATACCTTAACAGATTTTTATCTGTGATCCCTAGCTTCCCACTCAGAAGGCCTGTATTCATTGGGACCTTTGGTGGTGGCATAGTCAGTGGCTGGGCCTCCTCGTTAGCCCCGGGCCATGTCTTTCCGTACGGCGGCATGTGGGTACACCTGCTCTTTCACAGAGAGGTCCCTTCCTTCACTTTAGCACTCTGTTCTCCCTCCCTACTACTTTGGTTGTGCTGAAGGGGCTGCCTGGCTTCTAGTCACCACTACGGTAAGACGAATTCGCATACTAAAGTTATGGTAATTATTACTGAAATGAAATTGAGGTTTTTTAATGTAAAACCAATTTTCATGATGTAATACTTACCATAACTTTATGGAGTCCCACCCTATCCTCCCCTCTTCCTTATCTGCCTGGCTGCCCCTCTGTGGGGTTTACGCCATAAAGGTTATTAGAGGAAGGGAGATCACTCTGCGTTCCTGCCGTGATGGCTCATGGATCGTAGGGAGGGCGGGATTGTTTTTCTTTTGAATCTTTTGTTGTTGGGATACAAAGATGGGTGTAGGTACTGTATTTGCATACTAAAGTTATGGTAAGTATTACATCATGAAAATTGGTTTTACATTAAAAAACCTCAATTCTGGTAAAACTGCAGAATCCTGCTTAATCTGGAATTTATCTAGTCTAGAACTGCTTTACTTGTGTAACTATTATGATACACTCTGAACAACTAGACTTATAACAAAATGTAGACAAGAGGTTCATAGGGTCTGTATTGTTCACCTAGCTTTGCTTGGCTGAAATCACTTCATCAAAACTAAAGGAAAAGGAATTCTAAATATCTAAGTACACACTACACAACATATCTGTTTCCTTCTGGAACCCAACCCACTATCCTTAGAGTTCAGCCAATCCATTCATACTTCAGACGAAATCATTCCTAAAGGAGAAGTACAGAATTTGAAAGAATTTGCTCTATTTCTGCTATTTGATCTCGCCTTTTCCATCTCGGTGGGCCAAGACCCATTTTTATAAAAAAAAAAATTGGTTCTAATTCCTTAAATGATGCTTCAGAGCAAATTTGGTTAAAAACTGCCCAGCCGTTCATTAATAGTATTGATTTATAGGACAAGTTGACAAATGACAGATGCTGCAATATCCCTACAATTCACTTGGACTTTTGTGCTAGGTAGAGCTTAAAGCAAGAGGCCTATAGTGCCTGTATTACTCAGCTAACTTTGTTTGACTAAAAGTGCTTAATCCAAAATACAGGATAAGGAATTCTAAAGGATTACATATATTTCCCCATTGTGCTCACCCATCTGACAATTGGGGGCCATTCAATACAAAAATCTCCTTCTCCCTAGCATGCTTCAAACCATAAATGTCTGGATTCTAATAAATGTTTCAAGCAAAATTTTATTAGAATCAGGACATTTTGACAGAGGAAGAAAGGTTTGATAAAAAAGAGTATATTTCCCCTATTGGACACATTCCCTCATGACCCAGGGAGCTGAGACCCATTGCAATGAGTCTCCTTTGCTTAAGAATGCTTCAGACCAAATTTGCACAAAATTCAATCATTCCTCCTGAAGAAGGATTTAAAAGAATTTCCTGGTAGTTAATTTCCCCTTTTTGGCCCTGCCCCTCAGGCCCCAGCAGGTTAGACTCACCACTGATACAAAATTTAGCCACCTTCCCCAAAGGATGCTTCTGACCAAATTTTGTTTAAGGCAGCTAAATCATTCATGATAAGTAGTGATTTGTAGGAAAAGTTCACTGATAGACAGATGGCATGGTATACATGATAGGAAAGTATAGCACTCAACCACAGTCTCATCTGGCCTTTTATCTATGTACTCTTTCTTACATGTTTTGTATATTTAGAAATATGTTTATAACACCAGTTACTATATGCAAAGCCGGAACCTTGTGATAAGAAAGAAAGGAATAGAACATGCTAAAGGAGTTTAAGTTCTTACATCTATACATTAGTATTTATTTGTCTCCATGACAATAATATCAATATTGTAACTCAAAACAGATCCATAGTAAAGGACAAGACCAGACTGATGTGTGTAGAAAGCTTTGTTCCCTGGAGTTCTCATGAACAGCCTTGGAGCTCTGGAAACCTCCTTCAACAGACAGATCCTGACAGACAGAACCTATTTGTTTGTCCACCTAAAATCTGTGAGGGGATGATACACATACAGAATATTTCTAAAAAAAAATACCCTATAAGTCTGTATTGATGGCTATTGTTAAGGATCACACAAAACAGCAGCTGACTTGATTAAACAAACTCACATCTAGAACCTGGTCTCCGGCCCAAAGTCTACCATCTCTTGCTGCAGCACCGTCCTCATACACCTCGTGGATAATGATCGCTCCCTGACAAACACAAGTAACATAGAATAAAGAGCACATCAAGACAGATAGATATGTATACACTTGGACTCCTGTTTGCTCACACAACAGTTACTAATTGGAAGGGTACATGTCATGCTCATTTTACTGAGTCCTAGTATGATCACACAACAGTTAATTACTAAAATTGTATCAGCTGCACCCAATGTTCTCAGGCCTAGTCTATGTTCTCAGGCCTAGTCTATGTTAGCCTACACCACAGTTAATTACTAAAATTGTATCAGCCACACCCACTGTTCTCAGGCCTAGTCTATGTGAGCCTACACCACAGTTAATTACTAAAATTGTATCAGCCACACCCACTGTTCTCAGGCCTAGTCTATGTTCTCAGGCCTAGTCTATGTTAACCTACACCACAGTTAATTACTAAAATTGTATCAGCCACACCCACTGTTCTCAGGCCTAGTCTATGTGAGCCTACACCACAGTTAATTACTAAAATTGTATCAGCCACACCCACTGTTCTCAGGACTAGTCTATGTTCTCAGGCCTAGTCTATGTTAACCTACACCACAGTTAATTACTAAAATTGTATCAGCCACACCCACTGTTCTCAGGCCTAGTCTATGTGAGCCTACACCACAGTTAATTACTAAAATTGTATCAGCCACACCCACTGTTCTCAGGCCTAGTCTATGTTCTCAGGCCTAGTCTATGTTAGCCTACACCACAGTTAATTACTAAAATTGTATCAGCCACACCCACTGTTCTCAGGACTAGTCTATGTTCTCAGGCCTAGTCTATGTTAGCCTACACCACAGTTAATTACTAAAATTGTATCAGCCACACCCACTGTTCTCAGGCCTAGTCTATGTTCTCAGGCCTAGTCTATGTTAGCCTACACCACAGTTAATTACTAAAATTGTATCAGCCACACCCACTGTTCTCAGGCCTAGTCTATGTGAGCCTACACCACAGTTAATTACTAAAATTGTATCAGCCACACCCACTGTTCTCAGGCCTAGTCTATGTTCTCAGGCCTAGTCTATGTTAGCCTACACCACAGTTAATTACTAAAATTGTATCAGCCACACCCACTGTTCTCAGGCCTAGTCTATGTGAGCCTACACCACAGTTAATTACTAAAATTGTATCAGCCACACCCACTGTTCTCAGGCCTAGTCTATGTTCTCAGGCCTAGTCTATGTTAGCCTACACCACAGTTAATTACTATGTAGACCTTAACAATTATTACATACTAGGAGGGTATCAGCTCCACCGACTATACTGAGTAATTACTATGTAGACCTTAACAATTATTACTTACTAGGAGGGTATCAGCTCCACCGACTATACTGAGTATTACTATGTAGACCTTAACAATTATTACTTACTAGGAGGGTATCAGCTCCACCGACTATACGGAGTAATTACTATGTAGACCTTAACAATTATTACATACTAGGAGGGTATCAGCTCCACCGACTATACTGAGTAATTACTATGTAGACCTTAACAACTATTACTTACTAGGAGGGTATCAGCTCCACCGACTATACTGAGTAATTACTAAGTAGACCTTAACAACTATTACTTACTAGGAGGGTATCAGCTCCACCGACTATACTGAGTAATTACTATGTAGACCTTAACAATTATTACATACTAGGAGGGTATCAGCTCCACCGACTATACTGAGTAATTACTATGTAGACCTTAACAATTATTACTTACTAGGAGGGTATCAGCTCCACCGACTATACTGAGTAATTACTATGTAGACCTTAACAATTATTACTTACTAGGAGGGTATCAGCTCCACCGACTATACTGAGTAATTACTATGTAGACCTTAACAATTATTACATACTAGGAGGGTATCAGCTCCACCGACTATACTGAGTAATTACTATGTAGACCTTAACAATTATTACATACTAGGAGGGTATCAGCTCCACCGACTATACTGAGTAATTACTATGTAGACCTTAACAATTATTACTTACTAGGAGGGTATCAGCTCCACCGACTATACGGAGTAATTACTATGTAGACCTTAACAATTATTACTTACTAGGAGGGTATCAGCTCCACCGACTATACGGAGTAATTACTATGTAGACCTTAACAATTATTACTTACTAGGAGGGTATCAGCTCCACCGACTATACGGAGTAATTACTATGTAGACCTTAACAATTATTACTTACTAGGAGGGTATCAGCTCCACCGACTATACGGAGTAATTACTATGTAGACCTTAACAATTATTACTTACTAGGAGGGTATCAGCTCCACCGACTATACTGAGTAATTACTATGTAGACCTTAACAATTATTACTTACTAGGAGGGTATCAGCTCCACCGACTATACTGAGTAATTACTATGTAGACCTTAACAATTATTACTTACTAGGAGGGTATCAGCTCCACCGACTATACTGAGTAATTACTATGTAGACCTTAACAATTATTACATACTAGGAGGGTATCAGCTCCACCGACTATACGGAGTAATTACTATGTAGACCTTAACAATTATTACTTACTAGGAGGGTATCAGCTCCACCGACTATACTGAGTAATTACTATGTAGACCTTAACAATTATTACATACTAGGAGGGTATCAGCTCCACCGACTATACAGAGTAATTACTATGTAGACCTTAACAATTATTACATACTAGGAGGGTATCAGCTCCACCGACTATACGGAGTAATTACTATGTAGACCTTAACAATTATTACTTACTAGGAGGGTATCAGCTCCACCGACTATACTGAGTAATTACTATGTAGACCTTAACAATTATTACATACTAGGAGGGTATCAGCTCCACCGACTATACTGAGTAATTACTATGTAGACCTTAACAATTATTACTTACTAGGAGGGTATCAGCTCCACCGACTATACGGAGTAATTACTATGTAGACCTTAACAATTATTACATACTAGGAGGGTATCAGCTCCACCGACTTTACTGAGTAATTACTATGTAGACCTTAACAATTATTACTTACTAGGAGGGTATCAGCTCCACCGACTATACTGAGTAATTACTATGTAGACCTTAACAATTATTACTTACTAGGAGGGTATCAGCTCCACCGACTATACTGAGGCCTAACCCTGTTCGGCCCTTCTCTATTTCTATTGACGTTTCTTTTCCCGGAATGATTGGACAAGTGAAGGGGTCATGTGGTAATATATCCTGCTGCTGACTGGGAGACACTGGGGCAGGGTCTGTTGATGACTCCCCTGAAAGAGACAAGAAACATAAGATGTATCGGTGTTAAAATCAGTACCTGTCTGTTATCTAGTAGATACAGTGTGATCCTCACACACATACAGAAATATATCAGTTCCTCACACACATACAGAAATATATCAGTTCCCCACACATACAGAAATATATCAGTTCCTCACACACATACAGAAATATATCAGTTCCTCACACACATACAGAAATATATCAGTTCCCCACACATATACAGAAATATATCAGTTCCTCACACACATACAGAAATATATCAGTTCCTCACTCACATACAGAAATATATCAGTTCCTCACACACATACAGAAATATATCAGTTCCTCACTCACATACAGAAATATATCAGTTCCTCACTCACATACAGAAATATATCAGTTCCTCACACACATACAGAAATATATCGGTTTGTTTAAATGTATGGATAAGTAAACAAGAGGCATGAACAGCATCTACTGCTCACCTGATCTGTAACTTACAGTTACAGCTACAGAACTGTTCAATGTTCCCAAATTTGGACAAAGTCCAATCATTTGAACAGGAGTAATAGGATTTTAAGGACTTTGTTGACGACAAAGCATGGACAGACCATGGTCACTGTGGTATGATGAAAGCTTACCGGTCCTTTGGACCAGGTAAGCTAAAAATAGAAATTAAAGAGATAATAAGGAATTATAAACATAAATTTATTCAATAATACAGATGTAGATATTTGTCATTAAGTTCTTTTTGAAGAAACTTTCTTTTATCTTTCAGGTGTTTCTGGAGAGTAAGTGTCTTCTACTTCATCGACAACACCTGCTGTTTAAATTTTGGTTAATCCAAGTAAGTAATGTCACATTCTCAAATAAGAACAAGATATACCACAACGGAACCAACAGGCAAACTAACGAGCATCAAATACCTCCAGCTTCATGTCACACAAAGAAATAGAATATTTGTCAATGAGATCATTATGATGACCATAAAACTTCCCTAGAACTTTTGGTCTCTAATCATTGATTTGTAATGAGGACAGGGTAGGAATGTTCAATTCAATTAAAGGAGACATTAATCCTTTTAAACTAGATACTAATGGCCATTTGATAACCAATTGCACAGTATTTCAGACATTAATAAAACATCAACATCAACTGATAAATAACAAATTAGGAAAAAACAAATCAAACAAATCAAAGGCGAAACGGAAATACATATAGATCAATTAGCATTAAAAAACAAAATGGTAGAAAACAGATTCAACGTTAAATCAAAGTCCTGACAGTAGTGAAATGTGAAGACCTCGATGAGGAAAAAGATTTGGAAAAAGTAAAATGTGTCTATGTATTTTTATCAGTGTACTTTTTTACATGTGATGGATACTGATCCTTGTGGCAATTCATGTGCCGCACTCACGTGGTGATGGATACTGATCCTTGTGGCAATTCATATACCGCACTCACGTGGTGATGGATACTGATCCTTGTGACAATTCATGTACCGCACTCACGTGGTGATGGATACTGATCCTTGTGGCAATTCATGTACCGCACTCACCTGGTGATGGATACTGATCCTTGTGGCAATTCATGTACCGCACTCACGTGGTGGTCAATGCTTTTCATAAATACATGTAATTACACAAACAAAACCTGATAATGGTGGGCTTAAAATACTTCAAACGTCCAGACTTGAATAAACGTGTGTACACTTTAAAAAAGTATATATAATGATGATGTATATCTACAAGGTTGACTGATAGTACAATCTTTTTTTTTTTTTTTCATTTTCTATAGTAGGACATTTTCATTTCATGACATGGACCTCTGTGTAATAAAGGAGATGTTGTGTACAGAATTTAAACACATTTGACCTTTGTGATTTTGGATTACATCCTAGCATTCTCCTGGAACATCATGACCCTGGATCTCAAGATATTTTGTAAAGGTTTCAAAATATTTGATCATTGTAATCTTACAGGTAGATCCAGGATCTTTTTGTTTGAAGAAACCTAGACATCATACTAATTATGAGAACATGTACACAATATAGATATTACTACACCTACCTGAGCCATTATTTGCCACTTGAAAGACAGTGTTTTGTTGCAGACTAAGTCCACTGGAAGCCTTTTCGTTGTTCTCTCCACATTTGCGTACTTTTAATCTCACAGTTCCCTGACTATTGCGTAAAATTTCTATTGCCTGAAATATTGTAAAAAGATGATGATAAAATAAGGGTATGTTTCTTGTCTGTGATGAACATCATCAATGCTCTCCACTCACAGCCACACTCAAGAAATTCAAATTATCACAATTTTTTCACTTAAACATTAACATCACATCCCTTGCCCTACCCCTTGCTCCACTTCTTGTCCCAACCCTTGCCCAACCTCTTGTCCCACCTCTTGTCCCAACCTTTGCCCAACCTTTTGTCTGTATTTTGTCCTACCTCTTGTCCCAACCTTTGCCCAACCTTTTGTCTGTATTTTGTCCCACCTCTTGTCCCAACCCTTGCCCAACCTCTTGCCCCACCTCTTGTTCCAACCCTTGCCCAACCTTTTGTCTGTATCTTGTCCCACCTCTTGTCCCAATCTTTGCCCAACCTTTTGTCTGTATTTTGTCCCACCTCTTGTCCCAACCTTTGCCCAACCTTTTGTCTGTATTTTGTCCCACCTCTTGTCCCAACCTCTTGTCCCAACCCTTGCCCAACCTCTTGTCCCACCTCTTGTCCCAACCTTTGCCCAACCTTTTGTCTGTATCTTGTCCCACCTCTTGTCCCATGTCCAAACCCTTGCTCAACCTTTTGTCTGTATCTTGTCCCAACCTTGTCCCAACCTTTGCCCAACCTTTTGTCTGTATCTTGTCCCACCTCTTGTCCCAACCTTTGCCCAACCTTTTGTCTGTATTTTGTCCCACCTCTTGTCCCAACCTTTGCCCAACCTTTTGTCTGTATTTTGTCCCACCTCTTGTCCCAACCTTTGCCCAACCTTTTGTCTGTATTTTGTCCCACCTCTTGTCCCAACCCTTGCCCAACCTCTTGTCCCACCTCTTGTTCCAACCCTTGCCCAACCTTTTGTCTGTATCTTGTCCCACCTCTTGTCCCAATCTTTGCCCAACCTTTTGTCTGTATTTTGTCCCACCTCTTGTCCCAACCTTTGCCCATCCTTTTGTCTGTATTTTGTCCCACCTCTTGTCCCAACCTTTGCCCAACCTCTTGTCCCACCTCTTGTTCCAACCCTTTCCCAACCTTTTGTCTGTATCTTGTCCCACCTCTTGTCCCAATCTTTGCCCAACCTTTTGTCTGTATTTTGTCCCACCTGTTGTCCCAACCTTTGCCCAACCTTTTGTCTGTATTTTGTCCCACCTCTTGTCCCAACCCTTGCCAAACCTCTTGTCCCAACCCTTGCCCAACCTCTTGTCCCAACCCTTGCCCAACCTCTTGTCCCACCTCTTGTCCCAACCTTTTGTCTGTATCTTGTCCCAACCTTTGCCCAACCTTTTGTCTGTATCTTGTCCCACCTCTTGTCCCAACCTTTGCCCAACCTTTTGTCTGCATTTTGTCCCACCTCTTGTCCCAACCTTTGCCCAACCTTTTGTCTGTATTTTGTCCCACCTCTTGTCCCAACCTTTGCCCAACCTTTTGTCTGTATTTTGCCCCACCTCTTGTCCCAACATTTGCCCCACCTCTTGTTCCAACCTTTGCCCAACCTTTTGTTTGTATTTTGTCCCACCTCTTGTCCCAACCCTTGCCCCACCTCTTGTCCCAACCTTTGCCCAACCTTTTGTCTGTATTTTGTCCCACCTTTTGTCCCAACCCTTGCCCAACCTCTTGTCCCAACCTTTTTCCAACCTTTTGTCTGTATCTTGCCCCACTTATTGTCCCACCTCTTGTCCAAACCCTAGTAATAGCAATACTAGAGACCAAGAGGAACCTACATATGCAATTTGAGAAAGATCCATCCAATACTTCTCAAGAAATAGTGTTAACCAATATTGTTTACAGACGTATGGACAATGCAAGGATGAACCACGGACGGACGGACGGACGAAGGACCTTTGGACACAGAGCAATTTGAATAATATTCCATCTGATGATGGTGGGCTAAAAAGTTTTTTAAGAATCCAACAATTACAGCCTTATTAGACTTTGAACCAAAAGAATAACAACAAATAGTCAGGACCACTTGAGGATCATTTCAAGTTTCAGATTATATAACTGGTGGAACTTGAGAAGAATTCAAAATTAGGTGTATTTTGAGGTTATACTACTGGTGGAACTTGAGAAGAATTCAAAATTAGGTGTCTACAACAATAACGTCAAGTCAAAAATGGTTGCCATGCCCACTCTGTCAGAGTAATGTTTTTCCTTATAATCCCACAGATTGTAGCCTAAAAGTACCAACAGAACTTCAGAATGAGTTTAAAATGTGATATTCAAGATGGCAGGCAAGGTGGCCATATCGGATTTTAGACCAAGCCAAAAAATGACAATACTTTGTCAAGGACTATCTCAAGATTATTTCAGGAAAGTCTCAGCTGAATTCCGCAGAAGGAACTAGAGCAGAAGTGTGAAAGTTTACCCAATGGACACTGGCTGAAATAATCCTAACTTTTTGGGCCAGAAGACCATAAAAACTGACGCAGTACGGAGGAGAACAGATGAACAGACATCAAACAAGGACATTATGGGGAGGTAATTACACAACCTGAGTACAAATTGTTTATGTTTATACTACATAAAGCTACTATAGATACAATACCAACATTCTGAAGTAATCAATTTTTACATTTAAATAGCTTCACAACTTACTTTATCATAATGGACACCAGTCAATGATCGGTCACCAACCTCCAGGATCTGGTCACTGACACTTAACTGACCATCCTGTGTTAAATCAATTTCAAGCAATTAACAATTACATACAAATTCAGAGAAAACAAGTTGTTTCATTTCAAAAAGCAATATATCACTCGTTGTGTGTGTCAGTATTTTGCCACTGTGATCATCTTAAAAATTTCTAACTGTATTTTCAGGCATCCTTGTTGGTGGTGTCACAGTGGCGTAATGGTAAGACAGTTGTAGGATTTCTTGGCTAGGTGATTTGGTGCTGTAAGGTCAAGGCCCAAATATGGCACAGTTGTAATACAACATCAAATGATCAAAACATAAACATAATGAATTAAATTTCGTAAGTAGAATGTATCAGATTCATAACATAAGATGTGTAGGCTAGACACATCACAAAACTATTGATGTGTGACACACAGGCAGCATGTGTAGGTTACATACATCACAAATCTACTCATGTGTGACACACAGGCAGCATGTGTTGTTTAAATACATCACAGAGACACACATAGGTGACACAAAGGCAGTATGTGTTGTTTAAACACATCACAGAGCTACACATAGGTGACACATAGGCAGCTTGTGTGGCCAAGACAAAATGACAAAGGCATGTGGGTTTGACACACATCATATAGCCATTCATGTACATAAGAGAATAACTGTCAATCATCGCAGACAACAGTCTGGCATGGCAAGCAACAACAAACATCCACTCAGTATATAAAACTGTTGTTTACCTGGGCAGCCACTCCGCCGGGGGTTATACTTCGGACATAAATACCCTGCCTATCATTTCTGTTCTCCTCCACTATAGCAAAACCAAGACCTGAGGCTCCCTGTAAACAACAAAATATTACTGATGATGTTATATTCACTGTTTAAGTATCCTTTGTACACAGTATATTACAAACCTGACTGATCTGTATATTATATACCTCATCTGCATATTAAATACCTCACCTGTATATTATATACCTCATCTGTATATTAAATACCTCACCTGTATATTATATACCTCATCTGTACATCATATACCTCACATGTATATTATATACCTTACCTGTATATTATATACCTCCTCTGTATATTATATACCTCACCTGTATATTATATACCTCATCTGTATATTATATACCTCACCTGTATATTATATACCTCACCTGTATATTATATACCTGACTGTATATTACATACCTGACTGACCTGTATATTATATACCTCACCTGTATATTATATACCTTACCTGTATATTATATACCTCACCTGTATATTATATACCTGACTGTATATTACATACCTCACCTGTATATTATATACCTGACTGACCTGTATATTACATACATCATCTGTATATTATATACCTCACCTGTATATTATATACCTTACCTGTATATTATATACCTGACTGTATATTATATACCTCATCTGTATATTATATACCTCATCTGTATATTATATACCTGACTGACGTGTATATTATATATCTCACCTGTATATTATATACCTCACCTGTATATTATATACCTGACTGTATATTACATACCTGACTGACCTGTATATTATATACCTCACCTGTATATTATATACCTTACCTGTATATTATATACCTGACCTGTATATTATATACCTCTCCTGTGTAAATGTCCACATTTGATAATGATTGGTTCCCTTTTTTATTTGTGATGCAAAATCAAATTACTGGAATGATCACTACAACCATACAGACTTACCTTTTGGAGATCAAAAACCTGGAATACATCTTGTGGACTTAGAGAAGTCCCCCCTGTTTCTATGGAAGGGTCAGGGGTAGGGGTTGTAGCAATAGTTGCCGGTTGGGAATGACTTGGAAGGGAAAAAATATCCTGTAAAACAATGGAAACATGATTATGATAAGTAAACTACAGGTAAATTACAATGATAAGTAAACTACAGGTAAATTACAATGATAAGTAAACTACAGGTAAAGTACAATGATAAGTAAACTACACGTAAATTACAATGATAAGTAAACTATAGGTAAATTACAATGATAAGTAAACTACACGTAAATTACAATGATAAGTAAACTACAGGTAAATTACAATGATAAGTAAACTACAGGTAAATTACAATGATAAGTAAACTACAGGTAAATCACAATGATAAGTAAACTACAGGTAAATTACAATGATAAGTAAACTACAGGTAAATTACATTGATAAGTAAACTACAGGTAAATTCCAACTTGTGCTGTGTGAATGGAAACATTAACTTACAATCTCAACACAAAGTAAATATAATTTTTATCTAATACAGACTAATTACAGGAGTTGCTCAGTGTGTCATATGGCTTGCATTATTTCTGTAATGACACAGTTGATGCAATGACCTCGAAAGATCATGGTCACAGAAAGCTGTGCTAATACATAGGTAATCAGATTTCTAAAATAATATATTAATTACGCTAGGCTCTTTAAAAACAAATCCTAAATGACCTTTGACCTACCTCTGAAGAAACAGCTGCTGCAGAGGGTTTTAATGGCTTCACTGCCATGTGCTCCAAGTTCTCTTGTCGCCTAAAAAAATCAACATTCCATGTTTTTTTGTAGGTACAAAATGTAATCCATAATGCCTGGTTATTACAAGACAATACAACAGTTTGTTCCTGGTCACAACCAATGTTTTAATTCTGTCATTGAAAATGCCGACTGAAATATTGCTGACCTCAATGTTGTATCATTATGAGTGCTGAATGAAATATTGCTGACCTCAATGTTGTATCATTATGACTGCTGAATGAAATATTGCTGACCTGAATGTTGTATCATTATAACTGTGCTGAATGAAATATTGCTGACCTGAATGTTGTATCATTATGACTGCTGAATGAAATATTGCTGACCTGAATGTTGTATCATTATGACTGTGCTGAATGAAATATTGCTGACCTCAATGTTGTATCATTATGACTGCTGAATGAAATATTGCTGACCTCAATGTTGTATCATTATAATTGTGCTGAATGAAATATTGCTGACCTGAATGTTGTATCATTATGACTGCTGAATGAAATATTGCTGACCTGAATGTTGTATCACTATAACTGCTGAATGAAATATTGCTGACCTGAATGTTGTATCATTATGACTGTGCTGAATGAAATATTGCTGACCTGAATGTTGTATCATTATGACTGCTGAATGAAATATTGTTGACCTGAATGTTGTATCATTATGACTGCTGAATGAAATATTGCTGACCTCAATGTTGTATCATTATGCTGACTGAAATATTGCTGACCTCAATGTTGTATCATTATGCTGACTGAAATATTGCTGGTTGGCATATTGTATCCAAATGATTAAAATGAATAAGATTTAGCCTTCTATACAAACAACTTGTCAATAATGACAGTGACATTTTTTATATATTAATTCTTTTTCTCACCTGACAAGAACTATCTTGACCACAGCTGCTGTCAATCCTTTGATGATAGCCGAGGCATTAAGGTGACTTCTGCCATACAGAACTTGGCCATTGACCTGAAAAGACAAAAAATTCTGTCATACAGAACTTGGCAATTGACCAGAAAAGACAAAAGATTCTGTCATACAGTACTTGGCAATTGACCAGAAAAGACAAAAGATTCTGTCATACAGTACTTGGCAATTGACCAGAAAAGACAAAAGATTCTGTCATACAGTACTTGGCAATTGACCTGAAAAGACAAAGAATTCTGCCTTACAGTACTTTGTGATTGACCTGACAACAAGACAAAGAATTCTGCCATACAGAACTTGGCCATTGACCTGAAAAGGCACAGAATTCTGTCATACAGAACTTGGCCATTGCCCTGAAAAGACAAAGAATTCTGTCATACAGTACTTGGCCATTGACCTGACAACAACGTTTACTTGCTGAGCTGAGTTTGATCAAAAATATAACCAGAATACACTTTTTATTACATTAAATGAATTTTACCATCAAATACATGCAAGATTGATGTTTTTGATAGTTAAACCTATTTAAGCTACAACCTAGAAATGGAATTTGAGAAAGAACTATCCAGTACTTCTAAAGAAATTCCAATGACAAACTTTCAGGTCAAAATCCAAAATGGCTGCCTATCAACCATTTATTTTTCTGATCAGTCCAAAAGTGAAATTTGGACAATGGGAAGCCCTCACATGAAATTTGAGAAAGATATATTCATTGCTTTTCAAGAAACTGTGATGACAAATTTTCATTGTCAAAATACAAAATGGTGGCCTGTTAGCAAAACCAGAAACCAAGGGGAACCTGCATATGAAATTTGAGAAGATTGATTCTCCAATCACAAGAACTGTTTACAGACAAGGGACCATAGGTTTGAATGGTGGAAAGAAAGAAACAATCAGCACATTTTTTTTCAAAATTATTTCAAAAAATATGTTTTGATGTTTGATTATCTAAATCTTTGTTACATACTTTTTTCAGTTTCAAGTTAAAGGCAACTTATACTAGTTCTTGCTCTTATGGGTAATATTCTATGCACTGTATCAGGAAGTTACTTTTATTTGGGAGAGAATTTTGCCAGGCACAGGCCATGAATGGGTGAAAATGAACATTGGCAAGCTCTTTGCTTGCGAAAGGTTGGAACATCTCAGAATTATTTGGAAAGACAGTTTTGGGTGTGTACTAATTCAATAAACGCTTTGTGGGCGAAGTACACTGTACCAGGTCACCTGAAAACAGGATGTTTGTGTGTGATGTTACGTTGGTGAGATTTGTATAAATGGATGTCACATTTGTGTAATCCATCCCAATCCTCCGCTAAAAGCAATTCAGTACTTCCTAGTTTAGTTCCAGAATCAATGTGAAACAGAATGCAGGAAGTTTTGCTTTAATTGTCACAGAGTTGTGTACTAATCATCCTGCAAGAGTGCAATTCACCAACAGGTACTTGTTTAGATGTTAGCGGTGACAGTCACGTAGGCTGGGACAACGTTACAGTGACATGTGATTCAGCGACATCTGTTCAGAGGAGAATCATGGAACTTGATGGTGTTACAACCCCTTCAGCCCAGAGGAAGGCAATGTGACTGGTGTGCTCCCAAGATTTCATCACGAAATAAGGAAACCCTACATACTCATATAATCAACTTGTAACAACCAGCGCAACATTACTCTGCAGCAGGATAATTCCCCATATTACACCTGTTGTTAGGGCATATCTAAAACAGTAGAACACCCCGTGCTTCCTTGGTCTATTGTGGCACCAGATTTGTCTCCATTAGGTTTGGGATGAAATGGAGCGACGTCCGCACCCTTGTCTTACCCAAACCCTCATGCCACCTTAGATCCATTATGTTGTACATAGTCAGACATAAGACAGAACATCCCCAAGCATTTCTATATATTTTTCAGTTCCATGTGTCGTAAATGTGAGGCATCCATTAACGTGAATGATGACTATAAACAGTAAAGAACTTATGTACTGGATTTGTAACCTCTTTATTTCTGTGGTTATAAATTTCAATCATGATTCACCGATTCTCACTCTGTCCTTGTGAAGATAACCCAATGTAAAGAAAAATGTGGTACAAACTGAAACATATTATGTTCAAGTATTGTTTCTGAACAGATGGATGATAGACAATGGGCAATTTTAACAGCGAACCATCTAATGATGAAGGACTAAATAGTTTTAAATGTATTCTTTTGTTATTGGTGGATGTGACATACCTCTAAGAGCTCATCGCCAACATGTATGCGGCCATCGCGCCATGCCACACTTTCCGGTTGTATGCCTGCCACAAAGACGCTCATGGTATTGCGGTCTTTATTGCCTGCCAAACTGATACCTAAGCCATTACCAGCCTTCTTTAAGTCGACAAGGTGAAGGGCCCCTGTCAAGTCACCATAACGTCGTTGTATCCGTTCTGAAATTATAAAAATCTTCATTAGCTACAAATTACAAATTTAATCAATTAAAAATTGAAACAATTTTAAAACTAAGACTGTTAACTTCTGTTACATACTGGAATACCACAAGGAAAGTAACTGTGTTAAACGTTACGATGCGGACACTTTGCCATTTTCAGAAATAACAGTTAACTGTTGATTGCACACATTTTTATATTGATGACAACTGTAGGATTGGATAACAGGGATACTGCTATCCAGAAATGGAAAATTTACAACTGGGCAATTAAAATCATCACTCTTATTATACAGCTTGATGGAAAGCCATCTCTGCTGGTTACGTTGTAGGAAAAGATAAGAAAAAAAATTGTATATATTTTCACATCGCGTAGTTATTCATTAGGAACAAAACCTACAATTCAGGTCGTTGCTATTTATGCCAACTGGTATGTGTCATATTCAGTTCTCTATTATTCTAATAGATGAATATTGGTGGATCTTCATGCTGTAACTATCTCATATTGAATGGGTGTTACATGGTTATATAAAATCCACTCAGGTGTTATATTCATTCAAATTTGGTCAAAATCTCTTCATGATCACAGTAGTGATACAAAATTAAAAAAATGTTGACATATGTCCGACAATGAATGAAGAATGACAGACTATGCTAAATGAATAGCACAACCCAAAACTATCCTCACACCAAATATCAGCATAACTTGCAGCAAAACATAATCCTGGCTGGCAATACCAACAATGAGATGATTCCATAAGCTCATAAGGCAACAACCCTTGTCCCCAATCCAATACAGGCAACAACCCCTGTCCCCAATCCAATACGGGTAACAACCCCTCTCCCCAATCCAATACAGGCAACAACCCCTGTCCACAATCCAATACAGGCAACAACCCCTGTCCCCAATCCAATACAGGCAACAGCCCCCATCCCCAATCCAATACGGGTAACAGCCCCCGTCCCCAATCCAATACAGGCAACAACCCCCGTTCCCAATCCAATACAGGCAACAACCCCTGTCCCCAATCCAATACAGGCAACAACCCCTGTCCCCAATCCAATACAGGCAACAACCCGTCCCCAATCCAATACAGGCAACAACCCCTGTCCCCAATCCAATACAGGCAACAGCCCCCATCCCCAATCCAATACGGGTAACAACCCCCGTCCCCAATCCAATACAGGCAACAACCCCTGTCCCAATCCAATATGGGTAACAACCCCTCTCCCCAATGCAATACAGGCAACAACCCCTGTCCCCAATCCAATACAGGCAACAACCCCTGTCCCCAATCCAATACAGGCAACAACCCCTGTCCCCAATCCAATATGGGTAACAACCCCTGTCCCCAATCCAATACAGGCAACAACCCCTATCCCCAATCCAATACAGGCAACAACCCCTATCCCCAATCCAATATGGGTAACAACCCCCGTCCCCAATCCAATACAGACAACAACCCCTGTCCCCAATCCAATACAGGCAACAACCCCTGTCCCCAATCCAATACAGACAACCCCCATCCCCGATCCAACACAGGCAACAACCCCAGTCCCCAATCCAATACAGGCAATAACCCCTGTCCCCAATCCAATACAGGAAATAACCCCCGTCCACAATCCAATATAGGCAACAACCCCCGTCCCCAATCCAATACAGGCAACAACCCCATGTCCCCAATCCAATATAGACAACAACCCCTGTCCCCAATCCAATATAGACAACAACCCCAGTCCCCAATCCAATACAGGCAATAACCCCTGTCCCCAATCCCATACAGGCAACAACCCCTGTCCCCAATCCCATACAGGCAACAACCCCTGTCCACAAAACAATACAGGCAACAACCCCTGTCCCCAATCCAATATAGACAACAACCCCCCTGTCCCCAATCCAATACAGGCAACAACCCCTGTCCCCAATCCAATATAGACAACAACCCCTGTCCCCAATCCAATACAGACAACAACCCCTGTCCCCAATCCAATACAGGCAACAACCCCTGTCCCCAATCCAATATAGACAAGTACCAAAAAAAATATTGTTACTTCTGACATGTTTATCAGCAGACTGACAGACAGACAGAACTATCTATGGGTTAAGTTATGGGTCACATGCAATCACATGCATAGACAGAGGTGACAGAAGGACAGACAGACAGAATGATTCAAGGGTAAAGTTTTGGCTCACATACCAACAGATTTCAGACAGGTGGTAACTGTGTGGATATAAAGTGGCCCCACTCCAGCCTTTCCATATATTCTCATTCACAGCTAAGGTATGAAAAACAGCTTCATCAGTGTAGACAGCAAGAAAATCCAGGATGAGTATCAGTTGATCATGACGCTTACAAACTTTCATTACTGACAGACCCAGGCATACAGATAATGAACTCTAATTAACTCAAGTACATGACAGAATGATGGCTTCAAGAACTCATTTCTACTTACTTTACAGTCTTTAGGCAGCACATATAGCAAGCAAGTGCAGGTATACTTGTTCATACTGTATGGACCATCTGTTTATAAACACAATCTGTTGGCAACTGTGTCCTGTCTGTAATAAAAGGCCATATGGGCCTGTATCGCTCACCTGTATTACAGCTTATAAAGGGACGACTGAGTCAAAAGAAATTATGTGCTAGTAACTTCCATGTTCAACCCAAACAGTGCACTCCTTCTTTATAGTAAGTATGTAAGTGGCTACTACAAAGGGTTACAGTAAATGGATCCGAGACAATCCAGATACCAATAATTGAGATGGAAATGTTGGGAACAGTTATCCTCCACATGAATTGAACTCATCAGTCTGCAAATTCAAATTCTGGCCCAGAAATACTTTTTAGGAAGGGAATGGACATTTTTTGTTACCCTCTGAAAAAAATTGGTTGTGTTCAATTCTCTCCTGTCAGCAGTGTACAACACACTGCTAGCCACTGTGTGTAGTCATGGCGACTACTGACACATCATTGCCTGAGGTTTTCACCTGTGAAACTCGTGCCAAAAGTCAAAGGTACTTTAATAAAAAGAAAATATTGAAGTCTTGGTCTGATCTTGTTTCCAAATGTTTGGCAATTAATCCTGATTTATTCCATAGATTTATACATAAAAATCATTTTGTATGATTCTGAAAATTGCTAGTAACCAGGAATACAGGGTATAACGATACTGAAATTTGAAAAGTTCATGACATAAGATAAAAAGCATATGTGATTTAAATTTGATATAAATCATGGAAATACAAGTTTGATAAAACTAACAATGGTGCCATCATCTCTCAATACACATATTTAACATAAAAAAAAAAAAAATGGCATGGATTTCTGTGTTATTTGTTGATAGATGAAATCTGAGCAAGATATATTTGCAGTATTTAAATTTCAATATTTAATTGTTCTCAAATCAATGAGTATTCAGTGTATATGTAGGTATGTGGTCATTGTGTAGTTGATTCAGCCGACTCAACTGAGTCTAAAAATAGCATAGTTCCAGACGAAATCAAATCGTATTATTCATTGGGGAATTAACATCAGAATTGTGTCAAAAAACATGTATTGGTGCCGTATGTACACGCACTGTAAGTATACACACTGTATGTAGTGCATACAATATTAAGAAAGCACGGTTGATTGGACATTTTTTAGTAAAACATCACTGTTGGAACTGAGCAGATATTTGCGAATTGTCTGCGATATCACACTTCAAAGAATAACAACATTCATGTCAGAAATTTTATCGTTCTAATTCTAGGATGATCTCCATGCTTGTTATTGATAGGAATGGCTTTGTGTAAATTACAAGAAATAATATCTGACTATAAGAATTTTGTTAGCATGCAAGGGTCATCATTTATATCTAACAGTACAGACATTGATGGAGAGATTGTTGGGTAGACTGTACGTAATGTCAGGCCCTATATCTGTGCATAGACAATCTTTGGTGGCTCCATGCTAAAACGAGTTTGATTTCTGCTATTTTATGTATTTTGAAAGATCAGAGTAATTCTTTAACTACATCAATAAAATAAAGGATTATCTGTGTATAATTAATTTGCAAACTTAATTAAATGTTTGACTGATGATCTTGATAAATTACCTTCTGTTGTCTGTTATATCAATAAATGTTGGTCAATATAATGGTTACTTCATCGTAAGAAATGGTGTGGCTTATATTCCGCCACAGCTAATATGTGGATCAAATAAAAGAAATCGATAAAAATTGACTCTGTGGCTTATATATCAGTTGCACTTATAACCTGGAAAATATGGCATGGCGCCTTAATCCCAATATTTTACTTTTTAACTAATTTGTGGAGGGGGTTCATGAGATATTTTTAAAAAAAAAATGCTTTTTATTTGAACAAGAGATCCCATGGCCTTAACTGCTTGCCTATTCTGCAACTATAATTACATTTTTGCAAAATTGAAAACTTGTTTTCCCTAGAATGCTACTACACAAATGACACTGGGGATATGGGTTACCGATGAAGCATGAAGTTCCATGCACTTTGAACCTCTGATTCTCTGTAAGTGGTATACAGGTCATCCCAACTCAATAGTAACTTCCTCATTACTCCTAGCTTGTTGGTTATCAAGTACTTTGGAAATACAGTGTATTACTAATTTAGACCCCTGTGACCTTTGAAGAAGGTCAATATCACTTAATTGAACAAACTTGGTAGCCCTTTGTCCTAGCAAGCTATAGGCCCAGTCTTGTAATATCAGAGTGCCTAATTCCACTTGGTTATAGAAAGGTTTCTAGGAGGACAAATTGATGCTGGATGTATGTCTAGGTGTACAATCATTCATCGATTCCACTTCTGGGTTGTATCGCAACTTTAATCAAAAACTTTGAAAATGCACATTGAGATCTAATAATAAATTGTGGCTAAAAAAAACCAGAGAAAATGCAGAATTCCTCACCTACAGATTTTAAACCAGGACTTTTAGACAGAACCAATCGTGAATGCAACCAAATAGTGTACTGAAGTACAACAGA